TAAAATCAAGTTGCTGAGGGTGTAGTTGAACGAGTAACCAGTGAACCAGTCGGGAAAGAATTCTATCTACCGCATAAGCCTGTCGTAAGGGAGTCAGCAGGATCCACCAAAACTCGTATCGTGTTTGACGCATCAGCTAAAGCCAATGACAAATGCCAATCATTGAACGACTGCTTAGAGACAGGGCCGCCCTTGCAAAATATCCTTTGGAATGTGTTGGTGAGGAAACGGTTGAAACCTGTTGCGTTGGCTGGTGATCTCAAAAAGGCTTTTCTTCAGATCAGAATCCGACCAGAACATCGAGATGTGTTAAGGTTCCACTGGGTCAAGGAGGAAACATCAGAGATAGAGGTTCTCAGATTCACCAGAGCACTGTTTGGGTTAGTGCAGTCACCATTTCTGCTCGGAGCAACGCTGAAACGACACCTAGAAAGTCTGAAGGAACGATATCCAAATGAAGTCGCAGAAATCGAGAAATGTTTATATGTTGATGATGTCATCACGGGGGGAGACATTAAAGAGGAAGTGCTTGATCTGAAGGAGACCACTGTAGCAATATTCGAAGAAGCCAAGTTTGAGTTACACAAATGGCACTCCAACGAATCGGTGTTAGAAGCGAAAAGCGGGCCTGATGATGGGAAGCAAAGTTACGCGAAGGATCAGCTCGGAGTCAAAGCGGGAGAAACCAAGTTGCTGGGGCTGCCATGGAATAAAAACAATGACACTATATCTGTTACTTTTCCACAACCAATTACTGAAACGACCAAGAGAGAAATGTTACGATTCTTAGCCTCGATATATGATCCACTTGGTTTAGTGTCGCCCACAACACTTTCAGGAAAGCTGATGTATCGTCAAGTTTGTGACCAACATCTACCCTGGATGCGAAAGTGTCGGAAAGCGTCGCAGATCAGTGGTGCAAATTCGAAAATAGCCTACCTGGTAGAGTAGAGATACCAAGAAGTATCACATCAATTCAAGAACCGACTAAAGCGATAGATCTACATGTGTTCGGAGACACAAGTGGAGCCGGGACGTCGGTGGCAGTTTATGCAGTTGTCCACCAAGAGTCGGGAGTTAACCAGGGCCTACTGACCGCGAAGTCGTCGTTTAGCGAAGAAAGGCTTGTCTATTCCGAGGCTAGAGCTTGTTTCAGCGCACATGGCTGCAAACCTGGCAGAGAATACAAAGAATGCCCTTGATGGCCAACCTGTGAGATCTGTTACGGGATGGCTAGATAGCACCGTAGCCCTATATTAGTGAACTTAAGCATAGCTTAATCTAGCACGGGGACGTGTCAAGAAAGTGCCTTATATTTTACAGGTTTTTTTATTATAACTAACTACCGTTATTAAGAACTTCACAAAGCAGAACGAAAGTGCAATGAAAACAGCTAATAATAACATATTAATGCAAGAAAATGAGCAGAAATTGAAAATTAAAATCTCACGGACGTTTTCGACGTCGCTGTAGCTCTGTTTTACAACGGCAAAATACAGATTATCACGTCTTGTATACTACGCTTACATTTCAAGCTGGGACAACTGCTATTTTAAATTGGGTCCGAGAACTTTTCTCAATCATAAACCCAGTGCTAATTTTGATCCTTAAACTGTATTATTTTCATATTTCATGGATAACAGACGAAAGGTTTTCTGCTGCGATCATTTTGTTCAACGAGTTTGTTTACCGTCGCCGTCGCGTTCCCGTCCTACATGCTTAAGGTCGCTATTGAATCAAAGGGGGTGGAACTTATAAACAGTTCGTAGCTAACAGAGTGCGTAAGATAACGAGAAGGAGTTCATCGAGTGGAGACATGTAACCACTGACCAGAATCCAGCTGACGTTGGAAGCAGAGGGTGTCCTGGAGCAATCTCCCCAAGATTTGGTTAAACGGACCAGTGTGGTTACCACACCCCAACCAGTGGCCGGAGTCAATTGTTCCTAAGGCAAGCAAGGAAACTGAAGAAGAAGCGAAAGTGAGCCAAGAATTATTCGCAGCTGCCGTAGAGATAAATGATGAGTTCGAAGAATTATTGTCGAAGCATTGCTTTTGGTCTGCAGTCCGTATCATGGCTTGGATTAGAAGATTCTTAACGAACTGTAAGTTGAAGAAACTAGCGAGACTTACTGGTCCTTTGACAACTAAAGATATACATCAACAAGTTGAGTGGTGGATCAAGAGAGTCCAAGACAGCTCCAGCGGTACCGACGAGTTTCAAGAAGACAAATTAAGACTGAACTTACAGCTGAACTCAGCTGGGTTATACGAGTGCCGTAGTCGCATTCAAGGAGAATTTCCACCTGCAGCATGTTTATCTAAGAAGATCGTTGAAGTCGCCCACATCGTGACTCTGCACGGTGGAGTTGGCCTCACAATGACTTTGGTTAGACGTGACTAGTGGATCCCACGATTGAGGCAGTTAACAAAGAAAGTTATCAACAATTGCTTCGGGTGCAAGAAATTCCGTGCTACTGCGTTCCACAGTCCACCACCTGGAAATCGTCCAACAGACCGGACCATTGGTTCGACTCCTTTCCAAGTAATCGGTGTCGACTATGCGGGACCAATGGAGTACAAGATTAGTTAGACGAAAAACGGCAAAGCTCATATCCTGTTGTTCGCATGTAGTCTTACCCGAGCCATCCATCTCGAGCTCTTAAAAGATCAAACGACTGAGGGATTCATCAGAAGTCTAAAGCGGTTTGTTGCTAGACGTGGTAGACCTAGTAAAATCTATTCCGACAACGCCAAAAGTTTTGTAGCTGCAGCGAAGTGGCTCAGAGTGATCATGAAAGATGAGAAGCTTCAAAATTATCTCGCCCACCAGTACATAAAATGGCAATTTAATTTAAGCAATTTGAAAGACTAGTGGGGCTAGTGAAAAGAGAATTGTATAAGTCGAGCAGACGTGCTAAATTAACATGGAAGGAATTCGAAGAAGTGATACTCGATGTCAAAATCGCACTGAATAATCGCCCATTGTCATACGTCGAGGATGACATTTAGTTACCCGTTTTAACTCCAAATTCAATGATGTTCGAACAGTCCAATATATTGCCAGAGGAAGATATCGAATCGATCGAAGACGATAATCTGAGAAAAAGAGCAAGACATCTAGGGCGTTGCAAGGATGCATTGTGGTCCAGATGGTCTGGAGAGTACGTGAAAGGTTTGAGAGAGAGACATAACCTTAACCATAAGACCAAACAACTCTCTATCAAACCTGGAGACGTGGTATTAATAACATCGGATGAGCGGAATCGAGGAAAATGGAACATCGGGGCGGTGAATCGAGGAAAATGGAACATCGGCGCAGAACATGTGATTCAATATGGCGGATGGTCAGGCATATGAGTGCTCCCCGAAATTTGGCTCCTCTTCGTCGCAAAATCACTCACGGGTTTGTAATTCGACTAATAAATCTACATGTAGTAATGGGCAAGATAACTCAGTGGCAAAAAGTAGCTTAAAACTAACGTGGACGGGAGATTATTTATCGCTGAAATCGTTTGTATGCAACACTATGAAACTACAAGGCGATTGGACCCAACCTGGCGGTGATAAAAAGGTTTTCATTGGTAAATCGTTCCGTATTACGTGGAGGAAAGGTAAAAAACTACTTAATTTTGAAGGCATAGATTCAAATAAAATCAAACGAGCCTTTTATATTGAACTCTGCGACATCCACGAGTTCAAACAAGACATTCAGCGTGTAAATCCTGTAGCTACGTGTATTGATATTTGCTCGATGACGTGTAAATGCGGTGAGTTGTCTGCTGATCTTGAGGGCGTCAAGTTAGAGCAAGTAATATCTCAAAATGATATTAAGGTCAATAACCATAATGTGGGAATGCTTAATGATGTAGTAAGCAACTTAAAGAAAGAGGTCTATGCTATGCGGGAAAAGTTGGATAAACATGTAGATAGCCAGGTTCTATATTCATCAAAAGTTGTTGATTGCTCAACTCAGACGACTGAAATACCTGATTATAATGACCATAATAACAAAGGCCAAATGTTGAGTGAGTTTGAATATATTAAAAATTGCAAAACAATTTCCCACATTCAAAGTTTAGTCTGTGATAATAAATCTATTGAGCCTAAGGAATTTACACACCAAACGAACAGGGTAACATTAGATGCTAGCATAAACTCGTCACCTCGGAATGCGGATAATAAATCTATTAAGCCTAAGGAATTTACACACCAAACGAACAGGGTAACATTAGATGCTAGCATAAACTCGTCACCTCGGAATGCGGATAATAAATCTATTAAGCCTAAGGAATTTACACACCAAACGAACAGGGTAACATTAGATGCTAGCATAAACTCGTCACCTCGGAATGCGGACGACAATAGAATTTCCAATTTGAAAGGATTCTCTCAGCCATGTAATTTTGATGGAATTTCAAGTAATCCATCCCAAAGTGACATGTCCGGAAATCATGAGAGTACACAAAATAACAAACCAATTCCAACTCGAGTTACATGCCGATCCGAAAATCGATCGAAGAAATGGCATGAGAAAACAAATCGGGACTGTGCTTTTAATAAGTACTGGACAGTCAATAATATATGCTCACCGCAACAGGAGCAAAGGAGTGTATCTAGCAATGGTAAATTGGCTAAACGAAATAAAAAAGCGGATTTTTGTACCCATCACAAGCGAAATCGAATCAGAGACAAATTGATTTGGTTCAACTATTATTATTGAATAGTTTCCCTGTTAGAAAGCATAATCCCCTCAACTGTATTTTAATCAATCCTGCTGAACTCCCCATTAATTGTAACAGTAGTTCAAATGACCAACGCGAGAAGTATGCTGTGACGAGTAATAACTATCGAAAATCGAAAATTACACTTGCGCATCTTAACGTACGTTCTTTAAAGAATAGGGAACATTTTTTACAGATAAAGGATATGGTACATGAAGAAAATTATGATATATTTGCGGTTTCGGAATCATGGCTTAATTCAACAGTGCGAAATGCAGAGGTTGAAATTACTGGATATCGTCTGTCTCGATTAGACAGATTGGGAAAATCTGGAGGAGGGGTTTGTGTTTATGTTAAAAGTACATTGAAATACACGGTTTTAGATAGATATTTTATTAAAATAGATCATTGCAGCCCCGAAAGCTGAATTACGATCATTTTTACAATACTGATCTAGCAAACTATCATATAAACTTTAAAATTTAACTTATTAGTTCTGTTTGGTATTTTTATGAAAACTCTAAAATATTAATATTAAGACTACTAATGTACATTAGTTCAACTTCTAAGAATAGTCGAATCTATTGTTATTATTTACGTTAATAATAATTATAAGAATTATTCATTATAAAACTATTCTTCAATCTGTTTGTTTTGACAATTGGTAATTGGAAGAAACGTTTTCGCCTAGTACCAATATTACTATTGTTTCTGGGTGGTAACAGATTATGTAGTTTATGATTTTCGTTCTGCACAACTTGTTGGAAGAGAAGCTCACTTGCCACCTCTCTTCTTTTACGTAGAGAAGTTATTCCGGATATCTCTTGGGCCCGGATGTAGGAAAGATCAGGATACAGAATGCGCAGTGCCCGCTTTTGTAGTCTTTCTAATAGATCTGACAAGTACTGTGGCAGTGCGTTGTGATAGACAGGGCTCGCGTATTCAGCAACGGGACGTATACATGTTTTATAAAATAGCAATAAATCGTGGATCGGTAATTTTTCTCGTTTGAGTCGTCGAAGGAAATAGAGACGCGATGCTACTTTCTTGCAGATCATGTCTATATGTAAGTTCCACTTGAGATCGCCGGAAACAATGGTACCCAACAATTTAGCTGATGAAACAATTTCTATTTCCTTTCCGTTAATGGTGATAGGGTCCATTAAAGAATCCGCCTTTGAAAATGTTATTCTCAGCTCCTTACACTTAGATTCATTCAAATGGAAATTGTCCTCTTCTGTTTGAGTCACGAAATCATCCACATGCAATTGCATAGAGCTTGCTTCATTTTTCTTCACTATTTCGGACATGGTGGAATCATCGACATATTTCCATAGATCTAAATCAGGTATCTTCACATCGTTAATCATAATCAAGAACAACCAGGGGCCAAGTTTTGTTCCTTGTGGCACCCCGGCACGTAACTCAGCCCACTCAGAAAAACAATCGCTGCTCATCTTCACTCTTTGCTTTCGATTTGATAAAAAATCTAAAATCCAGCGCATTACAGATGTTGGAAAATCATACGACGAGAGCTTACGTACCAAAACGTTATGGTCAATTAAATCGAATGCTTTCCGAAAATCGAAGAGCATTACTCTTGCTGTAGATCCATTTCCATCAGTAGATTGGAGCCAGGTGTGGACCATGTTGATTAGTGCAAAGGTCGTGCTAGAATTAGGCACAGTTCCGTACTGCTGTGGATCGACATTTTTTAAAGCAGCTGGTTTAACGTACCTTTCAACGACATATTGTTCTGCAATCTTTGATAAAACTGGGGTCAACGAGATGGGTCTTAAATGTTTATTTACGTCTTGTACCGATTTTTGTTTTGGCACAGGAACTACATTAGCTTCTTTCCATGGTGTTGGTAATTTTCCTTCACGATAAGAACTATTTAGTATATCCGAAACTGCCGAGGCCAATACATCTGCGTTCTCTTTCAAAACCCACACCGGCATATTGTCAGGACCGCTAGACTTGCTGGGGTTAAACTTTGACAATTTGATAAATACTGAGTAGGAGGATACAACAAGGGGATCGTGATTATCATGATTATGTTGAAGATTATTTTGGAGGGGAGTATAGTCGTGCATGGGGGAAATGAAAGCTTCGTTAATGGTATTTGCTAAACTCACTTCGTCCAATGCTCCATATTGATGTTGAAGAGACTTAGCAAGGTTACCATGTGTGGAGCTGGACGGGGAACAACCACTCAGTTTTTTAACTTCATTCCACCATGAAGATGGCTTGCATTTTTTTAAGTTCTCCACTTTTGCTTTGTAATATTTGCCACGGCATTTCTTACGTTCTCTGTTAACCCGATTCCTCAGTCTACGAAACTCATACTCGTTACTGCTAGCTAGTGCTTTTTGTCTCTTTTGGATTAACTCTTTTAAAGTCGATGTAATCCAGGGTGGTTCTGTCGAGTGAACTGTTCGGGTACGAGTAGGTAAAATGAAGTCAAGGCCAGTTGTAATAATTTCCTGCAGGAGTAGAGTTTTCTCTTGACAGCTATCAACAGCACCAATTAGAGAATTGACATCTGCTTGTTGTAGATAGGTCGCCATTGCTGCACGTTTACTAGGATGCAAATCTCTTGATCTAATTTTGATCTTGACACCATTCATGGTACATCTTTCACGAGGTTGGATTTCAATAGACAGATGATCTGACAAACCAAGTGGAGGGTGTTTGATGGGGGATTGATAAAACTCGTTGATGTTGGTAAGAATTAAATCAAGTGTGGCTACACCACGCGTTGGGAAATTCACAATTTGTTTTAATTTAAAGCTATTTTGCAAACGCGTTGTTTCTAAGCGATTAAAATCCCCAGCAATCACAACACCGCAATTACTATAACGCGATTCAATATACGATAAACACTTGGTTAAATATTCTCTCATAGCAGGGTCATTAGCGCGTGGTGGGTGGTAAATGGTTCCGACAACAATGGAGTTGTAGCCTCTTGGGAGTCGGGATGGGGTCATTTTTATCCATAACGCTTCAAAGTCAGCTTCTTCTAGGTCTTCTAAAACTGTAAATTTGAGAGTGTTTTTTATAAACATACATACGCCACCATGTATCGCGTCAATTCTGTCTCTGCGAATTATGTTATACCCTTGCAATGCGACAGCATTATCATGGATGTGACTTTGAAGCCACGTTTCTACAATACAAAGAAAGTCCAGATTTGCATCCTTTATAATACAATGTAGTTCGTCAATCTTGGGCGCCAAGGACATAACATTAGATAGGAAAAAAGATGGGACGTATGCCCTCTGCGAATCTCTTACTAGTTCAGTAGAGCCACTAGGTTTCGATGCAACAACTCTTATACAGTTCGAGAGATTACGATATCTTGTAAAGATTGAATTCGACAGAGTTCTTCTAGATTCGCTCGGCTGAACAGCATGGATTGGATATTTCTGTTGAAGCCATGACTTTAGAACACCGTATTTGTAATGAAATCACTCTTTATTTTCACGTTTATTACAAATGTAGTTTTGTACAGTAAGTTGCTTTCACGAGGAAGTTCAACTAACAACACAACAATCCCATCATGCATTTGTCTCTCAGTATTACGTCATACTAATATTTGGATAACATACAGTTTTATATTGAACTCAACACCCTCACTTGTTATTAGAATATAAACTAATTACCACAACCGAACACGATACTTTTAAAATTATCTAGTTTACATTTTGTGGGTGGCTTTGTTAGGATATCAGCTACCATATCTTGGGTAGGACAATATACAATATCGATCATGCCTTTAACATACATTTCACGTACAAAGTGGTACTTTATGTCAATATGCTTAGAACGTTGTCTGTTAACTGGGTTCTTACTTAGTGCAATTGCCCCTTGGTTATCAACACTTACCTTCATACTCTGATGTACTTTCTTATACATACCGTTTAACAATTGAGTTAGATACAAACACTCTTGAGCTGTATTTGCTAAAGCTACATATTCAGCTTCGCAAGTGGAAATGGCAACCGTTGGTTGCTTTCTCGACTTCCATGAAATCAGTGGTCCTCCTTCAGTTAGAGTACAACAGTAACCTGTAGTACTTCGCCTGTCTTCCAGGCAAGAGGCCCAATCTGAATCACTATAAGCAGTGAGCTGCAAGTCAGCATCAGATTTCTTAAAGCAGAGTTCATAATCCACGGTACCCTTTAGATACCTTAGGACATGTTTGGCAGCAATTAAATCTCCCGTTCTGGGGTTTGACAGAGTTTGAGACAGTCTGCTTACAATCCAACTTAAATCAGGCCTTGTACAGGTCATGGCATAAATTAGGCTTCCTATCATTTCTCTATACTGTCTGGCGTTGGTCAATTCACCACAGTTAAATTCTAATCGTTGCTCACATGGGGTTAACCTGGGCTTGCAGTCTATCATTCCAAATCTCTCTAGTATTTTAAGAATGAATCTTTTCTGATTAATTTTTATTTCATCCTTGCTTTGCTTAAAATCCATTCCAAGGAAGAAAGTGATTCTACCTAGATCTTTCATCTTAAATTGTGTCTTCATACTTTCTTTAAATTCTTCCATTAACTGCATACTATCTGAAGCTATGATTAGGTCATCAACCCAAACAATGACGATAACAATTTTATCATCAACTTGTTTCTTATATACACAGTGATCAGCATGGTTTCTGACAAAACCGTCATTTGCTAAATGCTCGTGTAACAATATGTTCCAATTTCTACCTGATTGTTTTAGACCATATAGCGATTTCTTTAGCCTATATACTAACCTCTCACCACTCTCTGAAACCTCTTCAAACCCTTGTGGCTGGTCTATGTATAACTCTTGAGTAATGGGGGCATGCAGATATGCAGTTTTAACGTCCATCTGGTGGACAATAAGATCATGTTTTACTGCTAACTGCATTAAGACCCTAATTGAAGTAATACTGGCTGTCGGGGCGAAAGTTTCTTGATAATCTATACCCTTTACCTGGCTGTAACCCTTCGCTACATATCTGGCCTTAAAGGACTCTATGCCATTCTGATCTTGTTTGGTTGTGTACACCCATTTCCCCCCTACTGAAGCTTTACCTTCTGGTAAAGTTGATAATTCGTAAGTATCATTTTCCTTCAGAGAGCTGATCTCTTCCTTCATTGCTTGCTCCCACGCCCTAGCTTGAGGTGATCCCATGGCTTCTGTGTAATTTTGTGGTAATCCACAAACTTTGTAGCAGTAATCTACACTAATGTGGGCACAATCGGCATTCTTAGGGAGGAGGGTGTCCTCTTCTAAGTATCTGGGAGGGTTCCTTTCTCTTTGAGGATACCGTTTTGTCTCACTGTCATTCTCAGTATGGTTGCAATGCCTTCCCTCACTATCCCTAGGCTCCTCATCAGGCACTGTATTTGGCGGCATTACACTTAAAACAGGGAGGCTCATACTATCTAAGTCTGATCTAGTATCATGATCAGATTTCTCATGTACATCACAATCCCTGCTGGACTCATCAGTTTGTGTGTGCTGTTCTACACTACATTTCTTGATGAATCTAATGAGTCGATGTTTCATGATTTTCCCATTTTTTGGGTAGTAGACTAGGTAAGAAGGGCTATTTTTGTCGTATCCCACAAATACCCCCTTGCTGCATCTTGAGTCTAATTTCTTATGCTCCTGTTCGTAAGCAAAACATTCAGATCCAAAGATCCACATTTTAGAAAGATCAGGTACTTTCCCAGTAAGGCTAAAGTAGGGTGTTGTCTTTGTTCTCTTATTAAAACATCTATTCCTAATGTGAGCTGCGGTTTGAATTGCATAGGGCCAGAGAGTTTTGGGTAACCCTGATTGAAGAAGAAGACATCTGCCCATTTCGAACAATGTGCGCCAGTGCCTTTCGGCGGTGCCATTCTGGTGTGGCGAGTAGGGAGCAGAAGTTTCATGTTTTATGCCACGCTCCCTTAGTAATGTTTGAAACGCCTTACCTGTAAATTCTGAGCCATTGTCAGAACGGATGCAACTTACCTTGCCATAAGGAGTGATGTCTGCTAGAAATTTCTCTGTTGCTACAAAGGTGTCACTTTTACATTTCAGAAAGTAAACAAATACTGCTCCTGAGAAATCATCAGTAAAAGCTATGCAGTACTTAAACCCCTCTCTTGATACAGGAGAAACTGGACCTGCCAAATCCACATGCACTTTCTCCAATGATTTTTGAGATCTTGCATCAGGAATCCTACTCCTGCTGTTTACAAATTTTCCTTCTACACATGTATTACAACCTAACTTAGATGACTCAATTTTACCTGAGAATTTCATGCCCTTAACTACCCCCTGTAGTTTTATAATATCTTCAAAATTGCAGTGCCCTAGGATTTCATGCCATGTGTTAATATCATACGAGAGATTTACTTTATCTACTTCACTTACGCTATCGTTCTCATGACTGTCTATGGAAGTCAAATAGTACAACCGTCCATGTTCTTCAATTTCAACAATGGTACCATCTTCAAGGGTTAGCTCACCAGTATCTTGGGCAAATCGAAGCTCGGCTCCATTTGATGTGGCTGCCTTCACTGAGAAAATATCTTGAGGATAGGATGGTATATATAAGGCGTTTTCAGCACCGTTTTCACACATTTTCCATTTGTATCTTTCAGAAACACTTCAGCATCCCCTCGTTTCAATGCAATATTACTGGCTCGTGTGCCATCAGCCAGTTCAATGTAATGTTTTGATGGTTTAAATGTCATGTCTATTTGCTTTAAAATATCAGTAGTAACAATGTGAGAAGTGGCACCTGTGTCAACCAACATTCCCATTCGATTGATTTTCCCTGTTGCTTCGTCGTTAACTTTGAATGCAAATGAATGTTCATCTTTAGAGGTGTTTTCTTTCTCCGACACCTGTTCGGCATGGTCTTTGCTCTTTTGCTGACTTCTGCAGGTGCTATCCGAGTGTGTTGTACTTTTGTGATAGTTACACCACTTCTTCTCGCTCTTAGCAGGGCACTCTCTGACTAAATGCCCTCTTTTCCCACAGCCATAACATGTCATTGTTTGCGAAGGAAACTCAGCTTTCATTACCTGATCAATTTTCGGTTTGGTGTTGAGCTTTTCCGTTTCTTCGAAGCTCCTCAACATGCTCTTAAACTTCGCGAACGTTATCTCACTTGCACTTTGGGTCACATGTATCGAGAACGGTTTATATGAATCAGGCAGCCCCTTTAAGATCATAGCAATTATTAGCCCATCGCTTAACGTTTCTTTGGCGTTCTTAAGCGCTGTTATTGCTTTCTCGGCTCTTATTAAGTAATCTGTGACTGTCTCGTGAATTGCTTTTTCAAGTGACGTTAGCTCAGTGTAGAGTGTGATGATTCTTGGTTTGCCTTGATTTGCATAATGGTCTCGGAGTATTTGTAAAGCCTTTCGGCCATCGTCGGTAGCATCCCTCATTACCAATGACAGACTGGTGTCGTCCAAACACTGTATAAGTTCGGCGTAGCATTCTTCGTTCTTTGTTGCGTCAGCCTCTTCTTCAGACGGCAGGATAGTATCCTTTAGTTTTAATAACCTCATGTGCGCGAGGAATTTCGCTTCCCACAGTTCGTAATTGCTTTCGTTTCCATCGAAAGTCAACCTTGACCAGCGTGATTCTCTGCTGGGCCCATAACCTGTTGAAGCCATGACTTTAGAACACCGTATTTGTAATGAAATCACTCTTTATTTTCACGTTTATTACTAATGTAGTTTTGTACAGTAAGTTGCTTTCACGAATCACGAGGAAGTTCAACTAACAACACAACAATCCCATCATGCATTTGTCTCTCAGTATTACGTCATACTAATATTT